CAGCAACTAGAAGGATGTGCAGCTACGACATACAACTATCCACTGGGGCTTTGGGGGGAAAAATAAAATAAATAAAATCTTTAAAAAAAAAAAAAAAAAAAAACAACTTGGAGCCAGCCTGCCAGCTCTTGTTCCCTGTTAAAGTCCACGGATGGAGTCCAAACAGTCCATAGTACCATGTGAGAGGCCTGATCCGGTTGCTGCCCTGTCCCCTCAAGGATTAAGGCTGAAAAGTGCTCCAGAGCTAGGAGTAGAGTCCTTCCAGGTCAAGTTCTTTTTTCTGGGCTCGGGCTGAAAGCCAGTTTACATGGAGGTACTTGTCACCGAGCACTGTTTGGATGGGGTAAGACAGCTTCATAAGCAACTGCCCAAAATTCTGAGTTTAGAGCACAGAGCCCGGGCTCGGCAGAGACTCAGAAGTCTGACCCTTCTTTGCCTGCAGCAATCATGCTGTTTGATGAGCCAACCACAGGCCTGGACTGCATGACTGCAAATCAGATCGTCATCCTCCTAGCAGAGCTGGCTCGAAGGGACCGCATCGTGATCGTCACCACCCACCAGCCCCGCTCCGAGCTCTTCCAGGTGAGGGGGGCATCCCTTGTTCCTGCTCATCTTGTCAAGGGTGAGTATATGTGTGTGTTGAGCTGAGGGTCATGGGGTAGAGATTAGTACTCGTCAAACCAGAGCCACGGGAGCTCATAGCTCCTCATACAGGAAGGACAAAGGATGGAAGCACTTCTTTCAGCACCTCCCATGTACCAGATCCCTTCTATGCACTAGCTCATTTAATCAGCACAACAATTCTATGAGGTGGGTATCGGTATTTTCACTTTACAGAGGAAGAGAGTGAGACTTGGAAATGATACAAAATTGAGCCAGTATCACAGTTAATAAGATGCTGGGTTTGGCATTCATAGCCCAGCTGGCTTCAAAGGCTGTGTTTTTCCACCAAATCATATAGATAACCTTCCAAAAATCTCACTTTATCCCCCCAGGATCCTTTTAGGGAGCTATTATTTACCTTTTATAGATGAGGATCTGAGATTAAAAAAAAAAAGTTTTGTCCGAAGTCACTGACTCAGTGGCATGGCTAGGACTCAAACCCAAGTCCGCTAACCAGGCACAGTGGCTCTCTCTACCCCAGATGTGATGCTGGGCACAGGCTGGGATGAAGCAGGATTCACTGTGGCAACCCAGGCTGAAAAGAGTAGGGATGCATTTTCAGTGTCTCCAGTGGACGCAGTAACAATGCTGATGTATGGCTGAGCTAGTCAAAGGACTGACTGCTGAGAAACTTATTTTCCTTAAGGATATGGTGACCTGATTACACACTAACACCATCTGTTGTCCAATCAGCTCTTTGACAAAATCGCCATTCTGAGCTACGGAGAGCTGGTTTTCTGTGGGACACCAGTGGAAATGCTTGATTTCTTCAATGACTGTGGCTATCCTTGTCCCGAACATTCAAACCCTTTTGATTTTTACAGTAAGTTTTTCTTTCACATTCCTCATCATGAATGTTTTTTAAGCTTTTTCGTCTCAGATTTCTGCCTAGATGACACCAGCACCAGTGGGTTTTATTTTTGCTTTTGTTTTGGTGTTTTTACTCTTCAAGGAATTAATTTGGCCAGGTCAATTAACTTGCCATAGATGGACCCATCAGAATGAGGTGGGGGACCTCTCTTAAATTGGTACACTCCTACTTTGTCAGAGAAAAATTAGCTGAGCTTCTGCATTCTTCCAGACTGCCCCAGTGGGATCCTCACGGCCTTGCTGGTAGCTTTAAAATATTCTGATTTTGTAAGTGGGCATTAACAACAGGTTTTATTCTGATAGGATGAGGTTTTATGGCTAGCACTCCTAAATCAATGATGAAACGTGTATTATTAGCATATATATGTATGCTAATATATATATTATTAGCATATATATGTGTATATATACACACACACACACACACACATTTAAAAACACACGGTTCTTTTTTTTTGGGAAAAAAATTTAGTGGACCTGACATCAGTGGATACCCAAAGCAAAGAACGGGAAATAGAAACCTACAAGCGAGTGCAGATGATTGAATCTGCCTACAAAAAATCAGCAATTTATCACAAAACCTTGGAGAATATTAAAAGGACAAAACATCTGAAAATATTACCAATGGTTCCTTTCAAAACCAAAGATTCTCCTGGAGCTCTCTTTAAACTGTGTGTTCTCTTGAGGTAAGAGCCTCATCCCATTTTGGGTGGTTAGACATCCACTAATGAAAGAAAAGGAATTAAAACGAGGTTGTTTGGCTTTCAGGAGAGTGACGAGAAACCTGATGCGAAATAAGCTGGCAGTGATCATGCGTCTCGTTCAGAACCTGATCGTGGGTTTGTCCGTCATTTTCTTCCTTCTACGGGTCCAGAACGATGTGCTAAAGGGTGCTGTCCAGGACCACGTGGGTCTCCTTTACCAGTTTGTGGGTGCCACCCCATACACAGGCATGCTCAATGCTGTGAATCTGTGTAAGTGCCATGCCCAGGAGGTGTACCTCAGACGGCGGGGCTGGGGCCTCCTCTCTCCCTGAATACCTCCCTTATCCAGCTGGCCCCTTGCAAGACTTCACCATTATAATGCTATGTCTCTGAGCTCAGCCGGGCCCTCTCCAGATTCTCTCTCGGGGGAAAGGTAACTGCTGAGTTACTAACACCTGAGTGTGGATTAGCTCACCAGGTGGATCTCTCTGAGGGTCTCTCTAAGGATCCAGGGAAACATGAAGTTATGAGGTGCTGATGGGACTGAGTTTGGGAAGAGTTTTTCAAAAGATCATCCTTGGTATCCTTTATTGGGGGTCTGATACCTGGCCAACTTTGCACTGTTAACGTTCTTTTTGGAGCCTACTTTAGGACAGCCAGCACCTGATTTTCAAACTCAGTGGGAATCCAGAAGCAATACCTGGTTGCCTGATGTTCTGTGCCAAGACTCTGCACAGAAAGAGGACAAAGGGCCTCACATCCTTCATTTGTGCCCCTTTGGCATGTGTGTTCTTGAAATGGCAATACCCCTCCCCTACACTTTAGAGAAAAGGAAACAAATTATGACAACTTTTTCAACCATATTGTAATTCACATAGAGTGTAGATTTCTGAGATGGGGGTATTTATAGCTCTATGGATGGCAGGTCCCTTCTTTCCCTGACTAGGGAGACCCAGCTGGTCCTCATCATCCAGCCCTGACCTCAAGTTCAGCTTGCACTAGCCCCTCCCTCCCTTAGCTGTGTGGTGACCGACTGTCCTGAAACCTGCCTTCTGTGCCCAGTTCCTGTACTGCAAGCTGTCAGCGACCAGGAGAGCCAGGATGGCCTGTACCAGAAGTGGCAGATGCTGCTGGCCTATGTGCTGCACGTCCTCCCCTTCAGTGTCATTGCCACTGTGATGTTCAGCAGTGTGAGCTACTGGTAAGGGCATGTTCAGAGGTGTTCAGTCCTCCCAGACAAGGCCTCCTATGGAGTCCCAGATGGCCAGTGGGACCTGTGGAGGGAGCGCTCCAGGGTGAACAGCTCCCTGCTCTCTGCTCTGGAGGGTCTGTCTTTGCCCATCAATGTCCAGTATAATGTCCTGTCCTTCAGGATGAATAAAAGAACCCAATTGTGGGCCACACGGGGCCTGAGAGCAGACCAGCGGGACTACATGTGCTAAAGAATAGCATGTCCCACATTCGCTGCAGGCCTGGCCAGAGAAGAGGCCTCTGAAGTAACTGAGACCCGGGTGCAGAGGCAGCAAGTAATTGTTCATCAGCAGCTAAGCGTGGCTCCCACGCTGCTGTGAGTTGGAGCAGCTATTCTGCCTGAGGTTTCATTGACTGACCTGGGACATTGCAGTTGGGCTGGGGTGAGGGGGGCTTGAGGAATCAAAGAGTGACTATGGGAAGAGGGCACTGGGGAACCATGAAGCATCCCTAATGCTGTTGGGGTTTGATTGATGGCTTATAGACAAGGCTTCTTTTTATTTCTTGGAACTTTTAAAAGATATAAATCTGAAAATATGTAGAGTTTTAAGTTATTTGCATGATTTGTTGTCATAGGGAGATGTATCTTCCCCAGTCCCTGTGGCTTTCCCTTAAGAAAAGATGGGGGGAATTACCCAGCATTCTCTGACTCTAGTAGCGTAAAGGTGCCCAGCTTGTTGTCCCGAGAACTTCAGGCAGTTCTTGAGATGCTGTCTTTCTTCAGGCCACTGGTTTCATGTGCAGGTGCTTCTAACCATAGCCAGTATAAAGACCCGTGATATGTGACATGAATAATTATCATGAATTAAGTGATACATAAGTAAAAGATAAGGGCCTGGTTAGTTTGAGCTCCAAGACGAAGAGTTGGAATGTCTTGCTGCAGGCTGTTGGAAGTAGGTATTACTCTGGAGAGGGACAGAGGTAAAGCCTCCGAGCTGGCAGGAGGGCGGACTCTCAATCGAGGGCAATGGCAGCGACCATGTGGCCCTCCTTGCTGACCCTGAAGAAGCCTCCTTATTGTCTGACACTCGGGAACACGCTGAATCTCCAATCTGTGATGTAAACCATGGTGTGTCTAGTTCAGGTTAAATGATCCAGGAACAAATTGTTAAAATCTGACCATTTGTGAGTAAAACAAGGTTGGCTGAAAATTGGAGACCTTGCTAACTTAGAATCTTGCTACTCAGTGTGGCCCACGGACCACAGCGTCAGCATTACTTTGGAGCTTGTTGAATGTGCGGAGTCTCCGGCCCAGCCCCACTGAAATGGGCTCGACGTTTAACAAGATCTCCCAGGTGATTCAATATGCCCTTCAAACTTTGCAAAGCACTGAGTTTGAAGGCCATATAGTATTGGAAAAACTTCCCATGACAAAGAGAGTTCTGTAGGATTTGAGAAAACAGGGCAGTTTTAAACTAGGTTCATGACTATTTTTGATAAAAAGTCAGACACAAAAATGCAGAAACATTTCCAGTGGCAGTACAGCTGTTAGCCATGTAACAAATACTTTAATTACAGAAATATTTGTTTAATGCCTACTAAGTGCCAGGCACAGTGCTGGGTGCAGCAGGGGATCAAAGAGGAATAAACTGAAGGCACTGCCCTCCAGCTTGCAACTGTGAAATCTAAATATCCCTGAAAGCCAAAAGCGTTTTTGTAACCCTTTTAGCAGCACCATCTGAGCTGCTCAGCGGCAAAATCTGATCTGAACCGACATGAAGTTCTTTGTACTTTTTCCGCATGAACACTCCCATTTAGCAAAAATATTGATGTGCTTGATTACGGGTGGAGTCATGGATCCCACTGCGGCAAGTATGGTCTATGCGGTGTAAATCCTTTCCAAAATCTGTCAATTGCCACATTCCAAAACATATCTGGCCCTAAAGCGTTTCAGATAACGGACTGTGGACATAAATCTCCAGCTGACCTTAATTCAAGAAAGTGTAAGATTAGTATTATAAAGAAGCACAAACACTAGCTTGAGGGATATAGGAATAATAATAATAGCTAACACATATTGAGCACTTGCTTTATGTCAGGCACTAAGAGCTATACATATATCAATTCATGTAATCCTTGCAACCATTCTATAAAGGTGGTACTATAATTATCCTTGTTTGTAGATGAGGAAACTGAGGTACAGATGGGGTAATATCTTCCCCATCTCACATCCATTATCCCAGTTAATTACAAAGGAGACCAAGAGTCCATTTGGTTGGGCGGGGAGAGGGGCTCTTGGAGGCTCTCTGGAGGAGAATGTGAGAGACAGCACCATTTCAATGGATAGAAAAGGGAGCAAGGGCATTCCAGGGACGAAAGAGCAAGAGCAGAGGTTCAGAAGCAAAACACATGTAAGGCCTTTCCAGAGAAAAGGTTCAGTTATGCTGTGGGGAATGAAGGATTGGCAGGAGTGATGGAAAATAAGATGGACAGCCTTGGAGTCCGGTAGGGGAGGTGCTGAATGCCAAGCTAAGGGGCCGAAGTGGATTTGATAATAGGACATAGGATCAGATTTTGAACCAGGGAGTGACCCATCTGTGTTGGACTCTGGAGGGGGAGGCTGGCATCATTTTGGCAGCAGACTGGTGAATCCATCTGCTGAGCACTGGGGAGAGAATTGGAAATTGGGGAGAGGGGGTGATTTAAAGTAGCAGTTTATATCAGCCATGATAGGACACGTCATTGGAACTCAGTAAGCAATGAGGAAAAATCAGAGGTCCAGGGCCAGCTGAGGTAAAGTGGCAGAGCAGATCCAAATAGTACAGCAATATGCTTTGTTCAACACACCTTCAGTTGCTTACGTGAGAAAGCAGGGGTCCCCAGGTATGGGGTTTGGTAAGGCAGAGAATATCAGAAGGGGACAAGGATCTGAGGCAGTGAGGGCACTGGGGAAATGGGAGACAGGAGGGAGGCCATGATCAGAGAGGGCATTTTCAGAATCTGAAAACTTGGAATTGGAACAGTTTTGAATAATATTTAAGACCAAGACATGGTGAGTGATCAAGATTAGATGGATGGAGCCACTGGAATTGGTCAGGCAATGAGACTGATGGTTCATCAAGAAGGTTAAAGACATGAGGATAATGACAGTGGACAGGAATGCAAAGAATGACCCTGGTCCAGAGGCTATAAAATCACCAAAGGTGAAAGAATGTCTTAAAAGTCACAGAAGATTGCACGGGGGAAGGGAATTCATAGTATAAACAAACTTCATGATTTGTATAAGAGGAAAGGCAGATGGCCTTGAAGAGTGATAGGGAGGAGCGGATTTAAGATATGCCAACTCCTTTTCATCACTCTACAAATGGAAGAAAGAGCAGCCATGTCTAATGGTTGTTGAGGACATGCTATCACCAGGGAAATGTTATTTGATGAAAGGAATATAAGAGGAAAGGGGGATGGATATGGAGTAGTTTATTTACAAGACAATGAAGATCAAATCAATGGAAGGGGTTGGTAGAATAAAAGATAAGAATGGAATGGATTAGGCCTGGGGAGGGCTAATCTGATGGAGGATGAAAGCAATGGTTCTCACGCTGGCAATAACCCCACATAACGGGGATGAGGTTCAGGGAGGGAGTGGCTGAGAAGCAGATTGGGTGAGCCCTTAGCTTTAGGGTAGTAGGCTAGCTAGGGGAGGAGCAGCATGAGCTAGGCAGAACATGGATATTTATGGAGAAGCCTGGAGAGTTCAACCACCCTGCTTATTTCAGTTAGTTGTGACCATTGTCTGTGTTAATATTTTCCTGTGACAGCTGAAGGAGCTGTAAAAGGGAAAAGGTAGCTCACGTTGAGCTGCGGCCAACAGAAACAACTGCGGCAATAAATGGTCTCAAATTTTGGCTCTATTCCGAATAGGCCTTTCAAAGGGGAATTTGGCTTGCCCTGCAAACCCTTCCCACCTACTAACCAGCAGGGACTTATTCACAGAAGGCAAGTGTGGTATTTTTCTTAAATGATAACCCTTGGAGAGGAAACTAAAGACCTTATGTTTTTCTAGGACTCTGGGCTTATACCCTGAGGCTGCCAGATTTGGATATTTCTCTGCTGCTCTCTTGGCCTCCCACTTAATTGGTGAATTTCTAAACCTTGTGCTACTTGGTATGGTCCAAAACCCAAATGTGGTCAACAGTATAGTGGCTCTGCTCAGCATTGCTGGAGTGCTTGTGGGATCTGGATTCCTAAGGTAAGATATGATGATTCCAAGGATTTAGATTGGTATGATTTGTTGTTAATGGTCACCTAATAATGATTGTTATAAGGAATTCCAGAGGAGAGCTATGTGATACTGATTAAAGGTATCACCATGGCGCAGGCGGTTAAGTGCACGTGCTCCGCTGCGGCGGCCCGGGGTTCGCCAGTTTGGATCCCGGGCGCGCACCGACGCACCGCTTGTCAAGCCATGCTGTGGCGGCGTCCCATATAAAGTGGAGGAAGATGGGCATGGATGTTAGCCCAGGGCCAGTCTTCCTCAGCAAAAAGAGGAGGATTGGCAGATGTTAGCTCAGGGCCAATCTTCCTCACACACAAAAAAAGGTATCACCTTATAGTCTGGAATATTCATAGTGCTTTCTAATCATTATTGCTCAGACTTTGAACTGTTCACCATTTGTTCAATAAAAATCTCCACATTGCGATTCAGGAAATGACTATTTAGGCATGTTATCAATTTGATTCACATGTAATAAACCATTATAACAAAAAGAGGAAAATCAATCCATCCTCTAGAAAAACTCACAGCCTATATTATAGGCTAAATAGCATGCATTTAGTTCATTTCTGTCCTGGCACTGTTGAGTCTCTATTCCAGTTTTCAATTCCCAGTTCTTTTAGGAAGTAAGAATAGTCAGATAAGAAAAGAGCCTACAGGATAAAAGACTGCTCAAGAAAATATCAGTACTAGAAGGACATGCATCAACTGTTAACAGTAATTATCTTTGGGTGATATTTATTTTAATTTTTTCTTCATATTTTCCTATATTTTGTGACTATTCTGTGTTAGATAAGCACTATTTTATAACTAAGAAAAAATATACATACATACATTTTAAAAAAGTAGTAGCAGGAAGCATGGAAAATTTTAGAAGAATGCAAGTGGTCTCAGGCAGGTGATGTGAGTGGGATCTAGTAAGTAAACTATTGGTCTCTGAGGAAATGTGAAGAAGGCTCTGTTTCATTGACTTAAAAATCAGATAAACGAGCCAACCCCAACTCAACCCGCTTGAGTCTAGTGGCTCAAGTTCCGCATGCTCCGCTTTGGCAGTCCAGGTTCGGTTCCCGGGCGCAGAACTACACCACTTGTCTGTCAATAGCCATGCTCTAGCGGTGGCTCACACAGAAGAACCAGAAGAACTTACAACTATGCACAACTATGTACTGGAGCTTTGTGGGGGAAAAAGGAAGAAAAAGGAGGAAGATTGGCAACAGATGTTAGCTTAAGGAGAATCTTCCCCTGCAAAAAACAAATAAATAAATAAATCAAATAAACAAAAAGCTACATGTAATTATATTTATATGTTTAATTATTTAACTCTCAAGAGCAATCCATCTTCAGGTAAGAAAACTAAGCTCAGACTTGACTTTGCTCCAATCACACTACTGTGAAGACTCTCCCAGGATGCAGGTGGCTCCCTGAAGAGAGGACTGACACTGGAGTCAGAGACTTCCTCTACCACTTAGCTGCCATGTGACCGTGAGAAAGTCATTTTTCTATCTAAATTAGTTTCCTCATTTAGAAAATGGACATACTGATCTTGGCCCCACCTGTCTCAAGAAATCACAAGGAGCAAATGAGATAATCAATGTGAAAACACTTTACAAACTGTAGTGAGTTATATAAAGGTGAGACAGTATAAAGCAAAATCAGCTAGGTTTTGATCAGTCAAGGCAGATTTTTTTTACAATGACACCATTACGTTGTATTTGTCTATGTTGCTTAAGTGGATTATTAGCATCTATGAAAAATGCACAAATCAAGTCACTCCAAGGGTACGGAATCAAGCCAGCAAGGTACAGACCCAATCTTGGGCAGCATCTCTTCTGTCATATTTGAATCATTAGGTGTTCCAATCAGTCTGGCACTATTTCATGTATTTGGTTTGTAGGAAAAGGGGATGCATTCATTTTTCTGAAAAAAGAGGCAGTGGCAACATTACCAAATGCTCTTGGGTTCTTTGCAAAATCTCAACACTTCTCCTGGGTTCCACTCCCAGCACCGAATTGAAACTGCTCTTGAAGGCTACATCCACCTCCTAGTCATTAAGTTTGTATTTTTCCCTCAAGTCACCACTTTTCCTCACTGTCTGCAACATTTGCGCTTTTAGCTGCCTCCTCCTTTAAACACAATTGGAAACAGCTTTGTTGTTCTTTCTGCTTACAAAATAATGCACGTTCTTGGGGAAAAACTGCACACAATACAGAAATGTATAAGGAAGGAAGTGAAAGTTAACTGAAGTATCACAACCCAGAGTCAAATTTTGTTGTGTATCTTGCTCAACTTTTATATAATCTTTAATAAAAATAAGATTATACTGTTGCAAAGGAGTAAAGAATGCACGCTTTTTTCCCATTTAACAATATAATGTGGACAGTCCCATGCCAATAAATTGAGATCTATGGTTCCTCCCTCTCGGAAGTACATCAAGGATTTGTGTGACGTAGCCTGGTTCTCCTCCTGTGTCTTTCTGCGATCATTTGTCTCCCTCTGCCACCTGCACGAGGCCTGCCCGTCGTGCCCTGGCTACATGAGCTCTCTGAAAGCCCCTTTGTTTTCTCTCACAGCCCATCATGTGCCGCTGGTGCTGCAGGCTTCCTTTAATAGACTGTCAACCTCTTGAGGGCAGCAGTTGTGTCTTATTCATCATTATGGTTCTTCTCAGTGGCCAGCCCAGGCCTTGAACCTATTATGTTTGCAAAAAATACTTGCTGAATTGAGTGAATAAATGAATGACTACTCTCTTTCCCTGGACTGCCTACACACTGGATCAGTCACCAAATCATGTTGGTTTTCTTCTCTGATGTCAAACCACAAACGCATGTGGAGCTTTCACTTTGTGTTTTGCTCTGCAGGGTGAAAGCACATGGTTCCTGCCTCAGGGAGGTAACACACTAGCCGGCTGGGCAGCCATCCTCTCGTGGCCATTGTCCTATTCCAGGCCTTTGTCATCTCACACATGAACTACTGCTGTAGCCTGCTCCCTTTTTTGCTTTTCCTAATCTGCTCTTATTCTGGTCCATCCTTCTTGCTGGTGCCACATTAATTTTCTTAAAACAACATGACCTTTCTCATGGTCCTTCACTGTCAACCCACTGCAAGGCCCTGAGACAGCTGGTTCTTGGCTATCATTCCAAACTCACCTCCCACTGCTCCTACTTCCGATCCTCTGCTCCAGCCTCTCTGGTCGATTCAGTCGACGCAGACCTTGACATACCTGTGCTCAGACCATTTTGCTTTCCTTTGTCCTTCTTCTTCCCCAGATTCCTACCTATCCTTCCCATTTATGTAAAATTTTATAAACACATACATACACACACATTACATATATCACCAAAATGTTAACCACAGTGATTTCTGGGCAGTAGCATTTCTTTATACTTCTCAGTATTGTTTGAAGCTTTTTATAGTGAGCACAATTTTTATAGTGAGAAATGAAAAACTATATTCATGTTGGGAAACATAAAATAAACATTGCCTTTATTTTTACTTGATAGAACTATTACTAGAGCCTATTGAATTTCATCTCTTTCTTTCTTTTTTCTTTTTCTTAAGAAACGTAGAAGAAATGCCCATTCCTTTTAAAATCCTCCATTATTTTACATTCCAAAAATACTGCTGTGAGATTCTTGTGGTCAATGAGTTCTATGGACTCAATTTCACTTGTGGTAAGTATTCTATTTTGGAATATTATTTTTACATATTACTCTGAGGAAGCAATTCGCTGAGGGAAATGTATTTTTAAAATAAAAGCTATATCTTATAATAAATAAATTTAAAACCTTGTTTTAAAATAAAAGTCTAACATTTTCTCTGACTTTTAAAATAAAATACACAGTGGTCAAGTTAGTTACCTGTCAAAGGCCAATTGCTTAAGGCCACTCTGATGTTTTTAGAAAATGATAGACCTAATGTACACCAAGGTAAACTCTAGTATATTCTGGATGGAATCAGTTCCAATACCTACTGAACAGAACAGGTTGAAGCAGGTTGCAGTGGCTTCTTGTTCCTCCAAGTGTACATAGTAGATAGCCAACTAAAGCATTTTTGGCAAAAGTCTGTTCCCCAATCCCATGAGAGGACAGTGGGAGCATAAGAAAGTCCTCCTGGCCACTGGAAATCCCAGCCACTCTGTGACGATGACTAAGGAACAGGGTAGAATTTAGTAGTAGTTTTAAATATTTTTAGGTGATAACCCTAGGATATTCAGTGCTAAATGAACATAAGTGATCATGATTTTTATCAGTACTGTGATAATGAATATATACCTAAAATGGAAACAAACCCATTTCCATCTTTAAATGAAGCCAAGGCCCAGAACACGCACTGTTGCTTCATCTAATAATGAATTCTGGGCTATCTAAAATGTCCTATATCTTTCATATCTTTCATGAAGAAGGGTACTTAGCAGGGTGCTAAGCACTTAGTGGGATTTTGGTAAATACCTGTTGATTAAATTACCTGGGAAGTACTATATCTGACATTGTCAATCTTTTCCCTGGCAGGCAGCTCAAATGGTTCTGTGAATATTAATCCAATGTGTGCCCTCAGTCAAGGAATTCAATTCATTGAGAGAACCTGCCCAGGTGCAACATCCAGATTCACAACAAACTTTCTGGTTTTGTATGCATTTATCCCAGTTCTTGTCATCCTAGGAATAGCTGTTTTCAAAATAAGGGATCTTCTCTTTAGCAGATAGTAGAGAACATTGCTACAAAAATGGAACTTAAAGCTCCTAGATGTGCATGACTGCTTTCATTGTGTGAAATAAGAATGCCACGTGTTTCCTGATAGTTTATCTTAAGTTTTTTAACCATTAAGACTCCATTTGTGCCCCTTGGATCCATGCAGGCCTTGAATGTAGTCCACTTTGCAGGGACATGGGGTATTTGGAAATTGTGACTGAGCTGGTACAAAAATGTAAATAATAATTCATAAAGTTATGGGATACTAGTATGGCTATTTGTTTGCTTTATTCTAGACACAGAAAAATAGGTCAGTTAAAATATGCTTACATTTGATAAAGAATTTGGTAAAAAGAAAACATCTGAATGATTACTGACTGTAAGTAACAGACAAGAGAGTTGTGGGTTTGATTGAAGCAAAGCATCATGAAGAACTGGGTAAGAATGCTTTTGTTATCATTTAAAAACCCATATTTATGCGCACATGTCCACATGAGGGGTCTGAGTTACCTGAGCACATCGGGAGGACATTGGACAGATGTTGGATGATGAAGACCACTGGTACAGAGCACTGAATGACTTTACTGAGGGTTAAAATGAAGAACTGCAGGAATGGGCTCAACTCAACACAGCACACCAGACAAACGTCTGGTAATGTTTTTAAAGATTAATTTGCTATTTTTAACTTCCCGCTTAGTTCACTGATAATATTAAAAGTAAATGTTACTAGATAAAGTTTATGCACTGAGAAATGACATCTTTAAGGTTGGAGAGCAGATGTTATTTAAAGTCCATATAGAAAAGATGCTCAACTGACACAACATTTACACTAAGAAGAACAGGGTTACACACTAGGAATTCACGTTCTTGAATTGTTAAAGAGAAAGAATGCTGATCAATACAAATACAGACACCTATATTATGTATTCTTAGGAATGAAATGATGTATATAGATTATTAAAAATGGGTTCTGTACTAAATGACTGATTATCTTTCTGATTGATCTTCAGGTAACTCATGTACAAGTCTGAAATGTAACTGTCTCATTGTTACCATGGTAACTTTGAGTGAGAATATCTTACAGAGTACATGAACTTGTTCAGTTACTGTGACCTAACTTGTAAAGAATGATAAATTATAGCATTTGAAATGTCTCCATTATGGTAGGAAAGATCATTTCATTAAGGAAACCATAGTAAAATTCTATTCCTTAGAACAGTATTTAAGAATCTGGAGACATTGGTAAATTACCAGAATAGTATTGTCAATTTTTATAAAAGGTCTTTGACACTGATGATTATGGTATAATAGTTACATAATGCCTTACAGATTATATATGTCACATCAGTTATAGACAACTCTAGAGATGATAATCTATTAAAGTAGTTCAAAGAGAGTCCCACAGGAACCTCTTTTGAAATCACTGATTTCAACTCACTAAAGAAATGGGTGTACAATGTAAGTGGAAACATTTTCTACTATTCATATGCAGATGAATTTCATTCTAGCTCAGAAACATTTGGAAAATTGACATAGCACGTGACTTCAAGCTATTAAATGTTAGTGATACCATCTTAAAAAAACACAATGACTTCCGACATGTGACAGCTTGTGTCTCAAGTCAAAAATGGACAGTGATATGTAAGAAAATAAAATTATATAACAATAATTCCTATTACTATTGTAGAATAGGCTATTTCTTCCCACCAAGTCAGTGATGTTTCTGAGATCATAATGTTCACTATTAAAGTGAGCTCTTTCTCCACAGCACTCAGGCAGGGTGCCTGTCTGCCCTAAGACTGAGGTTCCTTGGAAACATGCTGAAAATCCTATTGTCAAGAGTGTTGGAACCACATGCGCTGCAATTAGTTGAGGAAGTCTTATTTCATTGCAATAATCAGGTAGTTTGCTATCTACTCAGATACCACTCATCAATCTTGGTGTTCTTCGGGTGAGTAAGGGTGGTTATTTGAAGCTGGGTGCATGGCATATTAGAGTCAACATATTTTATAGTGGAAATGGAAGAACAGAGAGTAAGTGACTTTCCTGGTTAACAACAGCAATTATGCTTACTCCAAATGGAACTTGGTTAGCAGGTACACAAATCTACAGGAGTGAGATGGCTTCTTACAGGCTATTCCATCTTGGAAATGATTTATTACTAGCTCATGAAGTTTTGGCCTGCCTGTTGATAGAATATCTCCCTAAATTTGCTTGTTCTTCAAAAAGTTATACTCAAAATAAGTTATGTCAGAATCACCAGAGGTGCTGAATAAAAAATGCAGATTACTGAGTCTCATTCCAGACCCACTGATGCAGGGTCTCTGGGTGTGGGGACTCAGGAATGTGCATTTTAAAAAAGTATTTCAGGTGCTTCTTGTGCCTCACTGTTACAGTAAAATGATGACACCTGAGACAGTGATCCCAATTCCAGTTTCCTACCAGACACAGCTGAGAATCCCTCAGAGAAGGAATGTGTCTAATATAAGCACTTATAACTGTTACTAAATACTCTTGCTTTCATATTCCTGAAAACATATAAGCAGAAACTTATAAATGCTGAACTGAGTATATACTACTTAAACATGTTAGAGGTAGGTAGTAGAAGACTCTTTTTATTTTTCAAAAATATTACATGTAATTACACTTTTTTCCCTTTTAAAAGACTTAAAAGTATCCAGGGAATTGCACTAATATAAGAAATTCCACTTTTCCTTTAACAAATTATACATGTTAACTTTCTTCACTTATTACCATAATAGCTAATCAATAAAATAATCTTACTTGTATTTGGGAAAGAAAAAATGAATACACTATAGTTGAATTAGGTTCAAGAATCAAGCTCAATCTGTTTCCAAGACTTTGAAGAACTTCTTTTGTACTGTTCCAGTTCCTAAAACAAAAATATGTATTATTTTTTTAAAAAGCAACTTTAAAAATTAAACTAGTCACCTTAAAACTGCCTTAGCATTTTTTAGGTATAACACTATCGTTTATAGCATTATCATTCTTGAAATTTCTTGACAATTATTTTGTAAATGATTATACTTAGGATTCATTTTCTGGAAACATAGAGTCTTCAGGGTTTCTGTGTAGCCTAAGCAGCACTTAGAGATGAATTTATTAAAGTTTCAGACAAAATTATATATACTATAGTATATAAGAATTGTCTTTCAATTAATAAAGCATTTGTTATACTTTAAGTATTTAAAAGTAATCTTATTTTTAATTGTTTGCTGTTCAACTCTTGTCAAAACCTAGCTGAAGTAAGCCAAGTATCGATATTTAAAATGCATATATCCTTTGACCCAGTGATTGTACATTTAGAAATTTATCGTATAGAATAATGGAGAAGAGCACAAGGATGTAAGTAGAAGGATATGCACTGCACTATGTATATTGGCACACAATTGGAAACAACTTAGATATCTCCCAGTAAGGACTGATTAAATACATCCGCGCTCATTCACACATGGCTTCACAGGCAGCCAGCAAAAATAACAGCAGTCATATGTGCCACATGAAAAAAGCAAATAGGAACCAGCCCTGATGGCCTAGTGGTTAAAGTTCAGTGTTCTCACTGCTTTGGTGGCCAGGGTTCAGTTCCCCATCATGGAACCACACCACTTGGCTGTCAGTAGCCATGCTGTGGTGGCGGCTCACATAAAAGAACTAGAACGACTTACAACTAGTATATACAACTACATACACGGGCTTTGGGGAGGAAAAAAAGAAAAAAAAGAGGAAGATTGGCAACAGATATTAGCTCAGAGTGAATCTTTCCCAACGAAAAAAAAGCAAATAGGTGGAGAGAGAGCAGGACACCTCCATTTTCTATATACTTCTATATCTTTTGAATTTTTTTTCACAATGATTGTATGTTACTTTTACAGTTATTAAAATAAAGATAAGTTTTAGTGGGGGTGGAAATCCTGCATGAGACGACTGAATTGCAAAAGGGATCATCTAAGGCCTCTTGTGTGTCATTTGACGTCTAAATAACTGCACAAAGCATATTATTATTTCAGATAAACAACAAGTGGTTACTCTGAGAGACAAGGCAATCACTGCCCTTTGGCTAACATAATTGAAGTTGACAGTTGCTAGGAACAGAAAATTCCTTTCTCATTTTCAGAAAAATTGCAGATTGTCTCTTTCATACCTATACTCTAAGTTATTAAAATTTAAATGTTAAAAGTTTTGAAACTGTATAAAGACTTTGGAAGAATTTTCATAGTAATAACTACAAAGTAGTCTTTACAGCTTGGTTTATTTTTTCTAAAGAAGTTAATTCAGTTCACCAGTTATCTACCACTTTTGGTTTCAAAGATTAACGCATAAACAATAAACAGTTATCACAAACTTTGTCTTTAATTAGAAGTGTTGAATTATTTTTACCCATGATAAAGGTAATCATTGGTAAGGGGCTGGTCACAGGCCATGCCAGACGGAGCTTAAAGAAGAACTGGTGTGATACAGAACTCACCATGTCTACTAGATCTTGAATACTGCTATCATGTGAATGCAAAATAATATGATGATGCTTTAAAGAATAGCAAGTAAGGGGGTTTTCTTTACACTGCAATTCTTCATGGCTGCTTTAGAAAGCCATTTTAAAAGTGAAAGCAGGGCCGGCCCCGTGGCTTAGCGGTTGAGTGCCCGCGCTCTGCTGCTGGCGGCGTGGGTTTGGATCCCAGGCGCGCACCGACACACCACTTCTCCGGCCATGCTGAGGCCGCGTCCCACATACAGCAACTAGAAGGATGTGCATCTATGACATACAACTATCTACTGGGGCTTTGGGGAAAAAAATAAATAAAATTAAAAAAAAAAAAAGTGAAAGCAAAACCAAGAAAGGTTTCCACTCTGCTTCTTAAAAACCTCTAAAGTTTTCAAATATAAATGGACCACAGTCTTACAGTGCTTAAAACAGCATCTTCAATAAAGGATAGTAAGAACATTTTCCCCTCAACATTCCCCTAAACATGTAAATCAGTGTGCGTATGTGTTTAAATTATAGGCTAGGGATCATA